CTCGGCCAATGGTCTTTGCGGCGACAAGTATCACCAGACTTGCAAGGGCTCTACATACGGAGACTGCTGCTCCAAGAGCGGAAATTGGTAAGTTATCTCTCACCCCATTACTACCTTTTATCTAATAACGTATCTAGTGGTAAGACGAGCGCATATTGTGGCACTGGGTGCCAGAGTGGCTTCGGAACTTGCACCTCCTCTAAGTGAGACGTGGGAATTTGATGCAACCTCTGGGAGAGCTTCAAGCTAATATATGACAACTCACCCCTGTTTATATACTTTCATGATGTAGACCTACGTAGTTGAATCAAATACGCATTTGGAGAATAAAGTAAAATTGGTACAAGGTCATATCAGTCTTGGACTCTTATGGTTTGCTCTCCCAGCAAATCCTCATATCTCTCTGTGGTGTTTGCCGGCGCCCCCTGAACTCATACAAAGTCGATCAGGAAGTCCTAGCAGCCCAAAATGCAGGAATAACCAGCCTCTGGCCTTTCTCAGCAAACAGCAGAGGTACGCAGCTGAGTTGCAAATCAACGGGGCTCGATTTTCAGCCCAACACGGCCGAGTGCAGTACTTGAACCGTGTTAACAAAAGCAACCATATACCAGCCCCTGTCTGATGATCTCTTTAAGTCTGTGTAATGAGGTTTGAACTTCTTGGTAAAATCCACCAAGCATATGTGAAAATAATGATATTGCTGCTCTTACTGGCCAAGCCATCGCACACTAAAACTCAAAATGTTATCAACATCTATCTTTATCGTCAACGCCGGGGCTTTATTCCTATGAGGACTCGACCGGCGCCACCAGGTGACACAAGATATGTCGGCTGTGTTCTTGTGTGCACAAACAACTAACTAGGATCTGTCACTCTCACAACATGCCGGCCCTTGTAAATCCAGGCGCCGCGGATCTGGCCACGCACGCGGCAGAATGCATGCAGCCGCTGTATCTCACAAATCTGCATACATAACAATGCTTTGTTATGTGGCGGGCAATCTCCTCGAAGATATGACACGGGTGTCAACAGATGCACGGATACCAGCAACTCCGAATATCACCGGGCGTGAAAGTCCCCAAGCAATAGGGGAATACCTTGACAGCTGCCTTGACCAACTTTGGTCAACTCGACTTGGTAACTTGGTGGGCGTTTGGAGGCTGCCGATGGCTTTTACGCCTACATGTATGTCTCAGAGTCGCCCACAGTTATTTTTCAGCTTAGAGTCTACAGTTTTCTCGACAAATCTGAAGGTTCTCAGCCGTAAGTATTAACCAACCGTCAGGCGCCTTGCCTTACCTTGCCTTGCACAACCGCCAGATTCTAGTGTTGTTTGCTCAACCGTTGTCTATCAGCGTTTGAGGCGGCACTCATCGACTGAGCGTTAGCCGTTTGTACCATGGCACCATATATATGTTTCCATCAGTTACAGTGGTTAATAAGCGCCATTTCTTATATCTCTGTCTTGTAATCCAGTGTTTCATGATGACGAATAAGGACACTCTTGGAAACAGATGTCTCATTCGACATCAGGCTTCAGGTTCTCATAGGGTGATTGCATTGTCGATGCATCATGCTACTAACTCAATGTAGTTCCAACTGCATTGTCAGTCTCTCGGATTTGTTGTTGGTGGAGATCGCTGCACGATTGCCATGTTTTTCTAGTCGAAATAATGCCGCGACCTGTTGAAAAGATAGCGAGCAATTGTTGGTAATAAAACTATGCTATAGAAGTTGATAGCCAATAACAAAATCATCAACCTCAACCAGTCAGCTAAGGTACTCCTCATCGTTGAATACAAAAATAACTTAGGCCGAGGGATATGCAATCCGGCCTCATAGAACAAAGGCGATCGTGGTCCCCCTAGATCTTGCTTGGATCTTGATTCTTCCGCTCTGTGTCTGATACTTCTCGTGCCTGTCACACCATGTTCAAGCCTCAGTACTGGACCAACACCTCTTGACCAACACCACAATCAACATTCATCAAGATGTGCTCTGCTTTGGTAAGCTCGTGCTGGAGGAGTACCATAAAAAGCAACAACAACAGCAACCTTCTCGCAGACAGATCTGATCAAGGCGTGCGTGGGGCCGGTGTGATCTAGAGTTTACCAGAAAAAGTTGTTTGTCTCAATGAACAAGGGCATGTACCATTGTACAGTGTGCGAGGCGTCAATGGTCATGTCCACAGGGGAATACCACATGGAAACGTGCGTTAAAGAGGGCCCAAGCTCGGCGGCCCTGGTCAGTGAGCAATAGCATTTCGAGACACGGCCAAGGTCGAGACGGGTAGCAACATCGACTGTAGATCAAGTCGGGGCACAGGGCAAAATCGGCAAAGAAAGAATAACATGTCGGCAATGGTTGATGCGATTGTGAATAATAATCCGTCAAACATCACGCGGCTAATAATTGCCGACTTGTTAATGTACACACTAGACTTTATATCTCCACAATAAGAAAGCCGTCCTCTCGTACTAAGAAATAGAGACAGAAGGGTAATAAGTCGAAAAGAACAGAACAATTGAATCAATCCCATGCGCGCAACCCCATCAAGGGTAGTAGTAATCTCACATAGCCCTCAACTTTGTAGGCTCCTTTCCCTAAACGCCCTGAACAGTTCGTACTTTGTCATTAGCAAAAATCCTTGAGAACCACCAACGACCGCATGACTTTCACAAGCCACTTCGCTGTGAACCACTTTTGTTGATATGAACTCCGTCGCCGTTGTAGACGTTGATGTTTCCCGACAGATCCACCAGGTAGGTATCTTGATACTCACTGGCGATCGTCCATGGCGAGATGCCGCGCGTCCGCACCTATCTGGCCAGTTTCCTACATTACCGTCGAGGCTAGAAGACGTGTTTCGACATCGTCCATACCCATCCCATCCATGCGAGGACCTTCCATCCCCTGAAGTCTTTGTTCGATCGCCTGGAAGCGTGGTTCGTAGCCGCCTCCAGTTCGGGCTTCAAGACTGTCCATGCGCTTCTCGATGTTGTCGAGGCGCTGCTCAATGCGCATTAGACCCTGGGCCATGTCGTGGTTCAGGCGGTCGAGTTTATTAGTGAAGGATCGGATCGATGTAGCCAGCGGCGCGTTCTCCTGACCAGGCGTGCCGGAGGGAGCTCGTGGCTCGTGGTTGTGACGTCCCTCTTGGATAGCAAAACGCCATTGGTTTCCGAGCTGAACTTCGCACACAGCCTTGGCGCGAAAGGGACAATCAATTTTGCGCGTTGAAGGGTTGCGCTTCTTGGCAGTGCTGTTGTACTTGACACCACCGCGGTCGCAAACGAGATCGTAGCGAGTGGGCTTTCCGTCGCGGTAGTTTGAAGCCCGAAGCTTGACAATTCCGTAGCCCTGGTCCTTTGCAACGCGCTGGACGGAAGCCATCAAATCTTCAAAGGTCCTAAATATACCTTCTGGTGGGGGTAATAGCGCTGGAGGTGGTGTATTCGGCATGACGAGTGATTGAGCCAGGGTGGCGGTTGCAACGGAACGGTTTAGATAAAGCGGAGAGGGCAAATAAGTTTGCCCAAGAAAAAACGGCTTCGGGGTGCTTTAATAAGACCGGGTGCGAGGTGTAGAATGAGATCGCAAATGGATGAGAGATGCTGTTGGCTTTGGTCGCGATGCTGTAGTTTACAGGGCAGGTATGCAAAAGGCTGGGTTCGACTTTCCCGCACTGTTCTAACTGTGATACAGGTATGGACCTAACAAGGTTTAGTGTTGATCCGGTCCGGGCCAGGCGGACCATTCACAGGCCAGACCTGCAGAAAGGTGGGGCCGTAGGTGACAGCAGGGTGCAGTCTACGTACCTGATGGATGCTGCGAAGCGTCGTTTTGTACGTCAAGCACAAGCCAGGGGAGGTAGCTTCGCGCAGAGCAAGGTGAGGTAAGGTACCTGACAGTATAAACGGAGTGGATAAGAGGTAAGGTAGGGAAGGGTGTGGAGGGGTCAAGCAACGTGCTGAGAGATTGAGATGGTGAGTTTGTGTAGCTTCAGCGGGTGCGACGATGGAAGGTAGAGACTATAGGTATAGTCAGTAGCAAGATTGATTGCAGGCTTGTGGTGAAAGAGATGTGTTTGCCGGAGGCGCTGGGCCCTTGATATAAATCAGGTTCTACAAGTGGAAACGGGGAAACGGTTCGAAGGGGGTGTGAAGAAGCTTCAGGGCTTGTTGAGGCTTCATCATCACCTAAGGCTGTTTGGATGCCAAGCACGTGACGGACGGGCTGAATTGGCCGTTGATACGGGTAGACGCAGCAGTTGCGGGCTTCGACTTGTTTCATGAACATTGAGGTGTTTGTCTTCCTCGTAGACCCTTTTGCTTGATGCCTGTGATACACTGACAATTGCTGCGTCCAGACAAAGAACTCGAGGTATGTCACCTCCATCGATCGACACGGTGCGGGCTTACTCTGACGGGTTCAGTTCAGTTCAGTTCAGTTCAGTCGCAGCTACAGCTACAGTTGCAGTCCCATAATACGGGCCACCGGTTCCTGGTTCCTGGTCCCTTGCTTGGTCGAGACTCGTTCCCTCAAAACGGCTCAGCTTACTTTGCTTCAACTGCATGTGCCTACGGTCTCATTCAACTTGGTTGCACCAACGGAAATCTAGACGTCAAAGCTTCTTCCCTTCCCCTAACTAACGACGCTTGCCCCACGTCACGCAAGGCAGAGACGAAGGAAGACACAGTTAACTAATAAGTTAATCTTTTGTATGCATCTATCCAACCCATCCATTCCTTACCTACTTCTAGAATATTACCCTGCATCAACAGAGTTTACAGTGCAAGCACTGACCATTTCTGTTAGGTCTTTGTATCCATCTCGGAATAAAAATAGAGCCCTGTCCACTTTTGCCAGTCTGATCCTTTCCCCATTGTCCACGCAAGCCTCTCATTCGCTCGGCCACCTGCGATCTCGTGTTGCTTCCTCAGCGCCATCAACTCTTGGATATCCTCTCTTTTGCCGGCCTTCCTACCCCATTCGCAAATATGAACCAGCAGCCTGCCGTTCAAAATCAGGCTCAGGCTCAGGCGCCAATTGCAGCCGGCCAGGATGACTGGGATGAAGCGCGCCTTGAAGAAGCCATGAAACGCCTCAAGCTTCTGCACATCAAGGTAACGTTGTTTTCAACGTGAGAAAACGGGATGCAAACATGCTCATCAGGCTCTTGTTTCAGGTCCGGCAATTGAACGACACCATTCCCAAGATGATCAAGCCGCTTGTGCAAAAGCAACCTTCACGTAGGCTCCCTGGTGTACTCATACTCTGAAACATCCTGAACTGACCCATCACCTATGTATAGCCGATGTCATGTTTGCAGCTTTCATGAACTCGGTCAATGAAGCGCAAGCAAACATCAAAGAGGTTACTGACTTGATGCGCGATGAGAAAAGTCGTGAAATCTTTGCGCAGGCCAAGAAGAGGAAAGAGGAAGAGCCCACGGGTATCAAGACGTGGGAATATTATGATCACCCAGACTGGTTCAGAATGGATGAAGAATAATGAGATACATGGAAAACATAGCATAGGCGTTTATGGACGGTTTAACTACATCATCGAGACATTAATGATAGGAGCAAGAGTATTTCAGGAAACGCTTTCGGACTTTTTACTACTGGAAGACGGCACATCAATATTATGAAGTTTAGAACAAAGTACTTTGCAGTTGTTCTCGATCCCATGGACCGTAGATAGATACAGAGGTTGCCGCCTCGCTCATTGGTGATACTCGACATCATGAATTCTAATGTTGCTTCTTTACCGATGAGGCACACAGAAGCTCGGTGAAAGGAAACAAGGTTTCGGGGCACTTATATAGAGTTTATGATCAATCACAGTCGAATTATCCTAAGTTGCATAATTTGCGGACGAGAGAGTTAACCCCTATGTTTCCATAAGACTGTTTCTTTCTCCGAGGACATGGACAAGATCACCATTTTCGACTACTCATCTTCAGATATGATCCAAGGCCGCGAGGCCCATATGAGTACGCCCCCCTGATTTTAACGAGCTTCCTCACTGCTCCGTAGCTTTATGATAACTTTCGGTACGCCAGCCGCATCACGATTAACGGCGGAGCATACATCGGGACCGACACCGAGCTACAAAGGGGGCCGATAGCTCATAATGGGAACACTGTTTGGGACATGGACTGCAAAAACTTATATTCTTCTGTATTTCCAAATCATGGAGTATGTCTAGCTTGAGTAACTACTATGTAGGTAGCTAAAGGCTCAAAGTTCTTCGGGGAGGGAACTTAGAGCCATAGTGATGGATATGGGCTACTTCTCTATCTTCTACCGACTGATCTTATTTCCAAACAATCGCTAGAATAAATATAAAATTCCCATGCTATGAACTTATCGAGTCACATTGTGACTTGCAGTCAGAGTACTATAGCATCAGGTTGAGTCAAGACTCAGCATTTCGGTATCTACTGTTTCTGGACTTGGTAAAACTTCTAAATAACATTTGTATGCATCTGAATACAAGTAGGCTATTGAGTTAGCAGCGAGATCGGCCGGGCAAGGTATCGTATTATTATTCAGAGCAAATTAGAAGATTGAAACAAACAGGGTGAATGTTTCAAAGAGTCGATTTGCGACTTACGCTCAGCTTTTGGTCTTTTTAGTCTAAAAAGCAAAGCCTGATTCTCCATTTCGTTCCATCCCAGTGCTGTAACGCATCGTCTATCCATTAACTAACAGAAAATTCTTTTCGTCTATCTCAGGCTATTCGGCAGCGTTCGGGAAACACAGAGATATGCTCTGTTTTGGCGAAGCTGACACAAATGAAGCTTACTTTCTGTCTACCTACTTACCTCACCACGAACTAAATGCGACTACCTCACCCTCAGGGAGCAAGAAAATTACAGGCCTTGATATAGGGTGTCAAAATAAACGTCACGTAGCAAAGATTTCCCTAAGTTTAGGATAGATTTACCTAAATATCTTCATCGCTTAGGATCAATGTCCTGAGTTTTCTTTCCTCTCCTTGCTGACCCTGAAGATCTCTTTTACATCCAAGTGGAGCCTGCGGCTGGACGAAAGTGCAAAGCCACATTGTGGCTGTATCACGTGCTAAGTGCGCTAGTCCCACCACGAATTTTACACACCCACACAGAATTAACAACTCGAGTGTTTTGCGAAATCTCCTCTCCTACTCTCGCGACCAACGTCCAACACCAACTAACCCGAGCAGCTCAGTCAAATCACCAAGCCGCTACAATGGTTAACCACAGAGTCACCTACCGCCGCCGCAACGGGTGAGTTTTTCCCTCCGAAGCTGTCGAGTCTCTTCGCTCTCGAAATGTGTCGAGATACCATTTCTCGCCATACAGCCTCATACTTCCGACACGACCATACGATCAGGAACTAACCATGCTCCTAGCTGGAACACTCGATCCAACACCACGAGGACCATTCGTACACCTGGTGGTGAGCTCCGTGTGCTTCACATCAAGAAGCGAGGCACCGTTCCCAAGTGTGGTGACTGCGGCTCCAAGCTCTCAGGCGTAAGTCGACCAAGACAGCGAATCTTCTGCGATACGAGGGATGAGACAATACGGGGACGGTAAACGGGCGCTGGCTGGCATGCGAGATATTGAAAGGCTCGACGTTAAGGCCAAAGCCCTTACATATCACGAGAGGAAGGAGATTACCAAGACACATCCCACCAACTGGCTTCCCGTTTTGTCTCAACCTTCTGTCGCAAAGGATTATCGGCCTACCGTGGAATATAAGGACTGACCTAATTCGTGTAGATTCCCGCTCTCCGACCCCGCGAGTACTCTCAGATCTCCAAGCCCAAGAAGACCGTCCAGCGCGCCTACGGTGGTTCCCGATGCGGCGGCTGTGTCCGCGACCGTATCGTCCGAGCTTTCCTCATTGAGGAGCAGAAGATCGTCAAGAAGGTGCTCAAGGAGCAGGAGCAGAGCCAGAAGAAGAAATAAATGCAATCTCCATTGCTAGGTTAGGCTTTGCGTGGGAAAGGCAAGGAACTCCGAGGACTCGGTTCATTGCTTTGGTGTTCATTAGGCAAAAAGGGACTGCATGATACATCGGGCCGGTGCCAAATGGTTGGCCGTCCGCCGTCTTAGGACTGCTACTATCCTCTTGGTGACTTGAATGAGAAAGAACATCAAGCTGGCGTGGATTTTGCATGAGTGATGAAGTATTGTTGGTGTGGCGAAGGTGTCAGAAAAATTATGACCATGAAAGTGAGATAAAAGTTAATGGCGCCAACTAGGTCAAATTACATCCACAGGTTGACAATATGTGTTTTCAATGATTCCTTGTCATCTGAACGGGTTCTCCCTTTCTGTCATCTCAAATTCGTAGACTGATTAAGGCGAGGTGAAATCATGACGTGCTAAAATTATCTTTCCCCCACTTACTTGGACAATCTCTTCCAATTCCTACATTGAAACGAGAAATCCTTCCCTCACCACAACCGTGAGCCTTAAAACCCACGATATTGTCACGATTGGCATTCTGCCATGTCATCACGAAGTCTCATCCGGCCTTGCAGCGCACAACGAGCAGTGTGCCAAGCTCTCGTCCAGACGCCGCGACCTAGATCCGCAACTACGGTTTTCAGAGCCACCACCTCGACAGTCTCACCGCATTCTCAAGCCTCTACATCAAGTCGCCGGCTTTTCCACACCCTTCCGAGCCGGAGAAAGGATCAACAGCCACCAGCGCACCCTCCCCCAACCGACTTTGCAGAGCTCGACGTGCTCGGTAATACTCCAGCGCCTTCAACTTCGGTCGATGTGTGTATGTATGATGGATTTGGACTGAACAGCGGCATCACTGTGACGGGCGGCAACGGCGTTTTGTTGGTTGATGGCGAGGTGTTCAACTGGCGTCCGTGGGAGGCCAAAGGCTCAATGAATCTCGTCAACAAGAAGGGCCAGTTTGAGCTACCACCAAAGGCCTTTGCGCTATTTGATCTACTGTGGCCCCGACCTGGTATGTTTTTATCCTCGTCACTTGCGTCATGGCATGTTTCGCACCTTTGAGGAGAATGCTCTTTGCTAATCAAGTCACAGATCTTCTCATCATCGGGGTCGGCCCATCTATCATGCCATTGGCACCCGAAACGAGACGACTTATATCGGAACTCGGTATGCAAATCGAAATTCTAGACACGAGAAATGCAGCTGCGCAGTTCAACTTGTTGGCCACAGAACGAGGCGTTTCGAACGTAGCAGCTGCTCTAATACCCATTGGATGGAAGGACGGCGTTGGGGCGGAATGAAAGCAGCTGAATCGAGAGGCGCACTTCGAACGTGTATTTCTATTGTAAGAGTATGAACGTAAGGGCAGGATGCATATATTCGCTATTTATCTTGAACCGGGAAATGGCGAGTCCTCAAACTGACTATTTTGCTTGTACAATGAAAGCAATCGGCATTGGGTTCGGAAAGCACCCTGTCCTCAAATTCTATATTCGCTCTCTATGTGCCGTGATGTATCTTTCAACAGTCAAGGCCAGGAACTTGTGTTGCCAAAGTCTAAGTATGATAGATGGATGGCCAAGGACTATGGATTGTAGATAGTGAATGGATATCAAGTACTTGCATTTATTGCACATGAATGTACTGTTTAGCTATAAGGTACGCAGTCTGCCCCTAAACCAAACACATATTGCTATTGTCGAAAATGCCATCTATGATGTCTTCTTCGAAGCCAACTTGTCTAATTCAACGATATAAACCTTTAAAAAAAAAAAAAAAAAAACACGATTGCACAGTAAAGAGCGATTTCTTCGAGATTCTATTCCGAAATTCCATCACCTTCAGGGTAGGCTTCATGCACAACATGCCTCAATGCTGCACAAATAATTGGTTCCCCCCAATGGCGATCTACTTCGCCCACAAGGTATGATGCAATTGTGTAATTGGTTGCTTCCCTGAACTTTGACAATTACCTTACTCAAACCAAATAGTCTCTCCATTCTCATCATCAATGTCAATCCAGCAACGCTACCCAATATCCACACTAAAGATCATCGATTTCAGCATCGAATTTTGACATAATTAGGCCGCACTTGACGCAATTTCTTGTTGTTTGGCGCGCGCCCTGACCGCGGTTCGCGTGGGGCACATAACTTTAGTACCTAGGGTCCAGGAACTTCAAAAGCTTGGCTGGGCCTTGGGTTGTTGATCGTTCAGGTTCTCGTTGTCAACTGGGCTTCTCTATGAATCTGCAAGTCTTTGCGGCGTTACACTATTTGACTTGTTTCATGCCGATTGTATGAGACAGCTGCGGTGGTCGGAGAAACACGCGAACTTGGTGTTACTCGTGTAATACCAATCAATCAATCCCTTGTTGGTGACTCAACAGCAGCTTCAATCTCTGATACAACGAAGAACAATCGCCCCAAACCAAATCCAATTGCGACTCAGTCCCTCTTTCTTATCAATTATAGAAAATTCGCAACAAACTTATAACACCTCCGCCAATATCCTGGTTTAACCCCGACGCACTTATGGCCTCTCCTGCAGCGAGCGTCCAACAGGACGATATCGACTCCACTGGCCCTCACCTCACTGACCCGGCTTTGCTGAAGGATCATTCAGAGTTCAAGTCCTATACAACAAGTCGTTTCACATACTCTGGAATTCGGGTTTTCTACCGAAAACGTATCAAGGCAGACGCACTACCCCAAAAGCCTGCTCCATTACCACTATTGGTATTTCTGCATGGCTTGGGCGGCTCTGTTGCCCAGTTTCATCCTCTGTTAAGTAGTCTGGTGGATGTGGCCACTTGCATGGCAATTGATTACCCCGGTTGTGGCCGATCTGATTTCTCAGTCCTTGATTGGGAAGCCTACACGACGGATGCTTTGGTAGAGCTTTTGGAAACAGTCATTGAGGACTATCGAGACAAGGACGCAGGCCAACGAGTGGTCCTGATCGGCCATAGCATGGGGGCAAGTCTCGCTGCTAAGCTGGCCAACACGCAAGTCGAGCACACAACCTCTTTAGCCGAGTACGTCGTAGGGTTGGTGGCTATCTGCCCTGTGTCAAGCCCTCCTGATGAATCAAAGACGTGGTGGGCTCGGGTGGTACTTTGGGCTCCGGAATGGATGTTTAATCTTTGGCGAGTCTGGAACGGTTGGGGAGGACACAACAGTACCAGCGTCAGGCGTTTCGTTGGAAAGGATGCTGACGAGGCTACCCGAAAACTCCAATATCGCTTCAACAGACAGAGTCGAACCCCGGTCTTTAGACGTATGGCCAATGGCGCCCTACCACTCTATCAAAACGGCAAACCTAAAGGCGGCCTCCCGACCTTAGAGGTCTGGGCAGGATTAAATATCCCCGTCTTTCTGATAGGTGCTGAGGGGGACACTGTTGTTTCGCCTGAAGAAGCCACAAAGATTGCTAACGTATTGAACCCTGACAAGACTCTGCCAGAATCAGGGGCATCGGAGGAGACACATGAGGCTATCGACGAAGCTGCTGCCCCCGTCAGCACTTCTACAAGACCGCAGGATCATATTCCACAAGCTATTGAAGATATCAATGATGATGACTTCACAAAGGCTAAGTCTTCGGTGGCTCCCAGTTCAGAAGGGGACAGCCCCAATGATCCCTCAACCCCCAACGAGACTATGACTGAACTACCTGCGCAACCGAACCACCCCAGGAAGGTAGTAAAGGCCACTGTTATGCCAATACCTGCAACACACGCTGTCCTCTACGCCCCTTGCTCAGCTCGTGCCGTCGCCGGGTTAATTTCTGATTTTTTGGCCACACACGTTACTGGAAGACTTTCCCTGGCCTGGCAACTGCAATACCTCAACCAGGAGGGAAAATGGGACGTCAAAAATCTTAACAAGTGGAAGTCTGTTACTCCAGTATCCGACCCGATTGGACGTCCTGGAAAACCCATTTTCCGAGCACTCAAGACACTTCGTGAAGTGGATGATGTCCATTCTCCACAGAATTTTATTTCAAACTGGGGTTCTATTGTCAAAGATGTCATTGATATCTCCAAAGACCATCCTAAATATGACCCCCGCGGTCTAGAACGAGCTGGAATCCATTATCATAAGTTCGCCACAGTTTCGAAGAAACCCCCAGAGGATCGTGAGGTTGAAGGTTTTATCAAATTAGTTGACGACCTTCGAAGTCGGCAGCCTGCGCGTGCTGCCACCGAGGGCTGGACAAATCCAGAGCAGTGTGTCATTGGAGTGCACTGCCATTACGGCTTCAACCGCACGGGATACCTTATCGTATGCTATCTCGTTGAGCGGTGCGATTTCGGTGTTCAGGAGGCTATCGACACATTTGCCAAGGCGAGGCCAAATGGGATCCGCCACTCGCACTTCAAGGACCATCTATATGTACGATACAATATTGGTTCGGCTTCAGTCAGGCGGTCATGATCATCAAGGGGGAAAGGCGTTTGGTTAAGGGGGTTAACTGTCACAAGCGAGGAGTACATTGACTTAAAACATTGACTTACATAGGAGTTTGGCTGGTAGTATTTGTTGGTAACTAGCGTATAGATAATTGACTGTTCGATGCTTTGATCGCAGTCAAGCATTGTAGCGGTCACTGGATAGACATGATATTCCACCCAATTTTTTCAGGTCTGTATTGAGGTGAACTGGTCAACTTTTAGACTCGTGTACCACTGGCGCTATGCTGGAATAACGACAATGAAGATGATTATCTGATTTCATGTAAATTGGATGTCTCAATAGACAGGAGCTCAGAAATTGCTGTAGTTGTGTTGGTATGAAAACTCAAAGTTCAAACGCACCATAGGCAGGTTAATGAATAAATCTACTATAGATTGGGTATACCACTCTACATATCTTGCCCAAGATCTCCCTGCCCGCCTCTTGCTAAACCCATATAAGTCGTGTAATCATTCTAAGAAATGCAGTATACCCATTAAACCTCGATAGCATGGTACTTGTTACCAAGAGACCAAACTTCGTCGAGTGCCTCCATGCCAACATCTTGAAGACTGACCTTGCTCATCTTGTCCTTGAGTTCCGAGGTGATCGCGTCAACGTCAACCTCAAGGTACTCCCGTAGATACTTACCAACATCGGTGTTCTCAACATTACCACGGATGTTCTCTGTTCGGGGGCCACCAGAACTGTAGATATTGACGTCGACGGCAGTGTGGCCGTGGGTACTCCAACCGACGTGAGCGCGTAGGGAGATGAGAGCTGAGAAGAGGACAAGGGCGCTCTCAGGATGATCAGCAATGGTGGTGATCTCCTTATCAGAGGCGTTGGAGATACCAAGGCCGCGAACGATGAGTTCCTCGTTGATGTACTTCTTTAGCTTCTCCTTATTCTTCTTGATGTTGGAATCAGAGGCGATGTGTGTGTTGAGCTTGGCGTGAAGCCACTCAGCTGAAGCGGTAGCATTCGCAAGTGCCTTGGGATACCAGTTGTAGACTGGGAGGTGACCAGGTTCCTGAATCGCAGTGGCAAGACCACCAGTTTCATGATCACTGGTCGCGACAAGAACGGTTTCAGTCTTGCTCTCCTTGATGAAGTCGAGAACAGCTTGGAATGTCTTGTCATACTCGAGAACCTCGTGGACCTGAGCTGCAGGATCATTGATGTGGCCGGCATGGTCAATTCGGCTGCCCTCGATCATGATGAAAAAGCCCTTGTCACTCTTTTCAGTAGCCTTCTCAAGAGCGCGAAGAGCGGTCTTGGCCATTTCGCTCAGGGAGGGGTAGACGTCGTTGTGGTTTCGACGGTCAATCTCAAAGGGGATGTCCGTTGGGGCAAAGAGTCCGAGGAAAGGCAGCTTGACGTTGTTGCCGCCCTTGAGGGCGTCAAAGCCGGCGCGACTGTCGGTGTAGGTCCAGTTGTGCTTTTCCTTTGCAATCTTGATCACGTCCGTGTCGTCGGCTCGGCAGCTGCCCTCTGTGCTGTTGGGCAAGAAGTTGCAGCGGCCACCACCAAGCATCAGATCAACAGTTCGGCCCAGGACACCTTCTCCGATCTGTTGAAGGGCAATCTCGTCTTCCATCTCGCGGAGGATCACGTGGGAGTTGAAGCAGGCTGGAGTCGCATCCTAGGCAGTATTCATTAGTTTCGTAATGACCTAATACCCTCCTCTAGTCATACATACCTCAATCTTTGTTGTAACAACAAGTCCAGTATGATATCCAGCACGCTTGGCAGCTTCTAGGACGGTTCCACAAGGATCGTGGTTAGGGAGTGTAGAGATCGCACCATTGTAGGTCTTCTTGCCACAGGAGAAGGCTGTCGCACCAGCAGCGCTGTCTGTAACCAGGGAACTACTGGAGCGAGTCCGGCTCGTGCCCCAGAAATGCTTATCGAGAGTGAGGGTATCGCCGTAGGGAAGCTCTTCCACGTGTTGTCGGAAGCTACGCGTCAAGGACAAAGGTGCAGGACCCATGCCGTCTGACACCATGAAGACGAGGTTTCGCTTAGAGGCTGGCGTGTTGTGTTCATGCTTTGTTTGTTGCTCATGCTGGGTCCAAATAGCAACAACAATAACAGCAGCAGTGGCAATCAGAGCCCAGGCAAAGAGACCGAGTTCACGGAGTCGCGAGTTCCGGGCGCTCTTATCGGCCTGAGCATCGGAGCGGCCTTCACCGTCACCGGACAAGAGAGGATCGCTTTCGTTGGCCTGAGGAGAAGACATTGTTAGCTGAAGGGAAAACGTGGGAGGACAGGATAAGTCTCGGACTGAGGCAGAAGGGAAGAAGAGGAGAGACAAACCATTGTACGGTATCTGGCCGCGTAAGAAGGAGGAAGAGGAAGAGGAAGAGGGTTGGGTTGTGCAAGGTGCAACAAGACAACAGAAAATGGTTGGATAGGCGATTATGCGACACTACGAGTTGGAGCTATGCGGGGGTAGCTTCAGAGCTTGTTACAGGGGGCTACAGTTCCATCAGTGGTGGACCGGGTGACATCAGTGGTTCACGTGGGTGGAGCGGGATGAAGGCCTATTGCTCACTGATAATCAGTTTTTGGAGAAGATAACCAATCGTGAGATCTTATCTTGACCACGCGAGCATAATTTTAAGGTAATCGAGATCATGGGGTTTTGCTCTTTTCTCTGGTCTCCAAATTTGCATTTGAACCTTCACGTGCGCTTATCTCAGGTACTGGTAGTCGAACTCTATACTAAAGAAACCCAACTCTATAAAACCTCTAGTGACTCGCAATTTCACGATCCTCATTTTCACCCAAAGATTCGACAGATGCATCTTCAAATAAAGAAGTAGACCCGACTTCCGTACCGTTGTTTCAACAAGCGGTGACGGCTCGCGACGACCCGTCATATACGATAACTCAAATTTCAAGCTTATTGGACTGGTATAAACCTGAACCGAGCATGTACTTCACCCGAGTTCATTGTACCGTAAATTCATAGCAAGTTTAGGCTAAAGCCTATCGTATTCCATCTCTTTCTTGGAGAACGACGTTCTCATGCCATAATGTTTCCTCCAGTTCGTTAATGGCCAAGCGGCCATGCTAAACAACCATCAGAACCGATAATCCTTGGTCCAAAACCAACTTCGAATCAGCATGTCAGATCCAATTTTGCCGGATCAAGAATGACAGATTGGTGCCACAGAAGGGTTTGTGACTCGCTATTCATGCGCGGAGTAACTACCTCCACGTTGCTTTCGGCATAAGTGAACGGTTGTCAGACAGCTCGTTAGGGGCAAGTTGCTACACATGAGCCTGGTACTAACAATGATCCTCAAACGGACCAGAAGCGCAAACCGTTTAAACAATCAGAAGGTTCGCGGCTGGCGTCCGAACCACGAACGAAAAACAACCACTCTTCATCTCTACCGACAATCCGAAGATGCTGACCATGATATGTCCTGAGACTCACAAGACTTGCCTCAAGCTCAGCCACCAGGACCATCGTTATGCTTCTCGTTCTCTTGGCTCACTCATGCTACTCAACGGGCGCGCACAAGATACCAAGGCCCCCAGAACGAGAATTCAATAGCCCACATGTGTGGTTACGTTTTATTTCTAAATCTTTGCGGATGTTATGGCGAGCTCCTTTTCGAAACATCCTGCCCCCAGCTATACCATGAAATCCACCGAATCAATGATCCAGATGCCTGGACAACAGAGGGTCTGAACGAGCTCCCCTTTACTCTCCCCGATCACTGTGTTGCTGGCTGGCACAACACACGGATAATTCTGACACATGGCGTTTGTTGCCCTCGATGGTGGTTCGAATGCCCTTCTATCATGGTTCCTGGATATCCTTATTTCTACCACCCGGGCAACAGACAAGGTTGAGAGAGAGCGTCTGTACGATAAAACGAAGCCAGATTAGAAGGTCTAGCCCAAGCTCAAGGTGAAGGTGAAGGATGTATTTGTATGAGTGCGGCGCACGGGAGCGATGGCAACTGCAAAAGCTGCCAGGAGCTGGTTGTATTTTGATATCTATACCCTTAGTCTATTAGTTCTATCATACAACCTTATGATGTGCCCTGCAGGCACTGCCATCGCTTGCTGATGGACGCTTGAATCAAAACTGATGGCTTACGAATGCAGAGCCGGTACTGGACCTCCTCCGTTTCGTACGACATCTTCTGAGGGGTATTGGTGCGCCCCAAGGAAGAGAGTTGACTGGACTGGCCCTGTCACTTCTCTGTCAAAGAATGCTCAAGTCTGACCCGCTGCATTCTTGTAACTCCGAGTACATTGAGTCACCGATTTAAAAAGGAGGGGATGAGGCCAGGCTTGGAAAGGGGGATGCTGTGGCTGTGAGATACGACGTTGGCACCTTTGTATGCAGTGTAAAGATGGAGACATGTATGGTGTACATTCTAGTATCTATATCCAAAGACTCGATTCTCACTTTAATATATAAATATCTATAAACTCTAAAACATTCAGCAAGAACATAAGTTGATTTGGTGCTTCAAATTTATCGGTAACTTCATTATAGCTTGCTTTGTTCTCGGGTTTTTGACACTTTCTGTAAGGGGCCGGTGTGCTTGGCAAAGGTCTTCATAAATGCTATACTCAAAATCGCTGCCACTTGCAAATAAATCATGTCCACTCCTTTGCCAATACTTGGGTATCACTAATGCAAATGTTCCCGCCATTCAACCTCATGAGCGGCCCTTGGAGAGGAAAAGCATATCGGGCCTCATAACAGACTGCCAAAAACAAGCCTGTCAAAAAGCTTCCTGAGCTTATGCCAAATTTCCATTAGCCTTTTTATCCTTTGGGATTGAGGCCTTGGGTATTCTTACCTGCCCGCAGCGTATTCGTCACACCTTAAGCTTGATCTTTTGCTGCTTGGACCTCTTCTTCTTTTTCCTAATTGTAAGGATATGTCTTCTTTGTACGGCTCGTACCAGCCAGTTATAAATCATGTCTCTCATGAGAATCAGGATGGTTGCTACAACAGTCGGAACGGCGCAGGCCCAGCTACAATGTTGTTAGTATTGTGCATCACTTCAGAAATCTTGCTCTGTAAACAGCACAGGGAGCAAGAAAACTTCTAACTCTTGACCAAAGCGCCAGAATAACTAGTCTCAGGGCAGGACCAAGTTATCCCAGATTGACTTCAAGTCATCAGGATAGAGCCAAGTTTCTCGTCTCCCCTGAGCATTGGACGAAATGAATACTTACAAATACCAAATACCGTGGTGGATTTCGGGGAAGCCCTGCTCCGCAAAGTTCTGCCCGAAAAATCCGGTTATGAACGTCAAAGGAAGGAAGATGATGGTCACAGTGGTAAGCTGCTTCATCGATTCGTTCTGGTAGGCTGATATGGTGTTGAAGATAAGGTTGATGAGGTTGTCGGATGATTGTTTGAGCTGCTGTAGAGCTTCGGTTATCATAATGCAGTGATCGAGCACATCGCCTAGGTATGTATGAGTCATTGGAGTGACAATAACACCAGTTGAAGGGTTCTCCAGTGCCTGCATGGCTTGGTCGTGGGTCATATGCGTCTTGTGATCCCGCAGGACATTAACCAAGTTGTCAATAGGGTTGAGGAAGCTCAGCATCTTGTTGATCTCACTGATGCATATATACAGCTTTTTGCTTTGACTGATACTCGGCGAGGTGAGTACATCCAACTCAATGTCGGCAATAATGTCTGTGTAAATAGACGTCAAAGGCATGGCGAGGTCGATGATGGCGTCGATAATGCCCTGACATAACAAGGAAGCGTCGTTGGACTCGCGAAGAATAGTGCCCGGGGTACTCAGACGGGTCACAATGGGTCGCTCGATATCTCCCGCCGAGACCTCGAAGAAAGAGATGACCGTGTTATCTGATGTTAGAAATATAGAGACCTGCTCTGCCGACACTGCCATTTGATGTGGCGTCAGGGATGAATGACTCTCCATAAATTGTGTGCGTGCTTCATTTCCCGAAGCGTGATAACGCTGCAATGTCCTTATCATGCCTGTCTCTTGCAGGTCTGCTGTAATAGGGTCCTGTGGCCGTAATGAGGTCTCAAAGTCCTTCTCGGGGTCGGCCGCTCTGCGAGTATTCCAAAGCTGCCTCACTGAGCCTCTCAAAGCGCCGAGCGTCTTGCTAGAGTATGTGCTGCTCGTGCTGGTTGTGTCATCTTCATCGTCTACCAGGTGGACGAGCTTCTGCAAGGTCATGACGATGAAAGCGTGATTGGGATACCAATCAGCCTTTGTCCGGTTCCTAATCTGCATCATATCCTCCAGAGCAAGCTTGTGAAGACCCTTCTTGTTGCCAATTGCTTGAATAACATCCCAACTGAGTCCATTGACGTTGATCCATCGGCATTTGGCCCATTCTTCTTTTGGCTGTTCAAGGAAGTCGATGAAATTCACATTATCGAAGTGGCGTTTAACCATTTTTTCTTGCGAAAAGTCGATTACAGAAATCTCACAGGGTGCTTGAAGTGCGGGCATTGAAGCATGACCTCCATCGGGAAGTTTTGGATCATAGCCAGGCTCGGAGCCAGGCTGCCAACCAGGGCGATCGCCAAAGGCCGTGTCAAACTCATCATAATCCTCCACCGTCTTGAACGTTGGGGCGCGAGTCATCCGGCGTCGCAATATCGAGGGCGAAAATGCCATTTCGCGATGGAACTCTGTGTCAGAACGCACTGGCCGCGTAGGCTCAGCCTTGGGCGGGGAGAGGTTCTGCGTGTTGAGGGTGAGGTTGTAGCGGACATGCTGATCCTTCTCGTCAGATACGTTGGTGTTGGAAGAATGGCTCTGGCGACTGCTCTGCTCTATACCGTCCTGAGGCTGCATTGCATTATCGCCCTCCCCTGGGACAGCGAAGTCTCGTGATGTTGACATTGGATGGACGGGAAAATGCCCTGCGAAAGGCAGAGCCGAGGAATAAGTAGAGTACTATATGTATTGCAGCCAGACGAAGGAGCGCGTGGAATAAAAGTAACTTGTAAAGCTGTAGAAAGCTTATCAGCTCAGCTGAGAGAGATAGAGATGGAATGAAAAGAAAAGGATCAGGTCCAGTGCGAGTTACCTAAGACTCGTATAAAAATAAATTTAAGGGTGCTCGGTTCCTCATGGATGCGCTGCGGCGTCGTGATGTAGGGGAAGTTCAGCCCGTCAGCACCAATTTCAGTGGTCGGTTTAGGGGAGTAGGGGGTTGTTTCTCAATAGCCTGGAGCATTCGACCATTCAACTCGTATATCGTAGCCACTGTCGACCTTTATTAGTGTGTTCCAAAGGTCCAGACTTTGATGGGCTGAAGCCGATTATCCGTCCCTGGTCCATCGAAGAATGCCATCGTCCATCATGACGTCCTGGGGTCTTTCACGATGAATCTCCACGCCAATCGCCGATGAGCAGTCTCATACTCCAAGGCCAAGCTTTAGCAATAAGCTTCTTATCCACATTTTTCCGTCTCGGCATAGAACAACACAGAATTAATCAAAAGTCGAATACGGCGTCATTTTATCCATTCTTGTCCCATGGAAATGATTGATCATGAGTCTCTAAAAGACCCGAAACAATAGTCTGCAGATACAACGGTTTCAAAGACCGCAAGGACCACCGAATCATTTCTTAAGGCAATCTATTCACAAAGTGCAAGGTTCGGGAGAAGCAGCCAGTAGCACTGCATCAATAGGTCACGATCCTAGCTTCACAACCAAAATTCGATGTTGACATTAGAGCACTTTTTAGAAGGTCAACGAAATGAAAGTTAGCAAAACTTCTGAAACCTAATAAGTCAGAAGCCCTTCCAAACGTATAACTCTCATAAGAGATTTACATGCTTTTTTCCTTTTATTTCAGTATTACTGGTATGGAAACTCACTACTAAATTACTTGCCCCCTTCTTATTGGACTTCTCTGAATAGCTCTCTTCATGTATTAACATCAAACAATGGATAACATTCTGTAAAGTACAGTACTCAACGTCGTGTCTCTTGATGTTATAGTACAAGGGCCAACGCCATATAATACAACCACAAAATCCCCATGCCACTTCCAGCATCGCCACTCAACTATCGTGAAGTAGCTTTCAGAGGTCCGTCTCCTTTCTAACTCAGTTGACAAAGACACTTGGCGTTACCAGAGCATAGCAAATCACACTTCAATATTCCGTCTCAGCTGTTGTGATCATGTTGATAGACGCTTCAGGTGCTGACATAATGAGAATTACAGGGTAGGTAAGCTTGGGCCCGCAATGGCCTCTGTAGCCTGGTGAAGTTACAGGCAGCAACCGCCAACGCCCCAGTTGGAGCTCCTGCCCAGACCATGGCTCATTCACGCCCACGTTAATTTGACTTGAGCAGTTGAACAAAGAAAATGGCACCTCTCTTTGTTTGAAAGAAACATCACACATCAAATCTCGATCATACATCGCACATTTCTTCATAATCATCGTCGCAGTTTCGAGACTGCCTTCTCCATACATCGCTACTTTGGAACCGCTTCAGCTTACAGCTACCTAGAGTAAACAAAACATCATGTCGCAAACTGACGAGGCACAACGTGAAGATGAGATCCAATATGGTATCGTGGGCATGACCCGCGAAGAGATTGAAGAAAAGTGAGATATTCATAATCCGTCAAGAACTATATCCTCATACTGACCATGCGCAAGGTTTCCGAATCGTCCAAAGAATCACTCCAAGACCCTCATCTTCTCGGAGCTATTTCGAGAAGTCTTCAACCCTCTCAATGAGAACAAGAAGCAGAATGCCACTGGCGCAGGCCCTAGAAAGGGTTTCCGTGGTGTGAATAAGCTTTCTCCTCATGAACAGCGTCGGCACATTATTGAGCGCTTCATCACTCGATGGCGCAAAGAAGTTGGCCCTGATTTCTATCCCGCTTTGCGCCTGATCCTGCCAGACAAAGACCGTGACCGTGGAGTTTATGGGCTCAAAGAAAACACAATTGGAAAGTTGCTCGTCAAGCTTATGAAAATCGACAAAAATTCCGAAGATGGCTACAACCTCTTGCATTGGAAGCTACCAGGTCAGACAACTGCGTCGCGCCTGGCAGGTGACTTCGCAGGACGATGCTTTGAAGTCATCTCAAAGCGGCCAATGCGCACCGAGGTTGGGAATATGACCATTGCAGAGGTCAATGAGCAGCTTGACAAACTCGCGGCTTCAACAGGAGAGGCAGAGAACCTGCGAGTCTTTGAGACTTTCTACAATCGCATGAATTCAGAAGAGCTCATGTGGCTCATTCGCATCGTCCTCAAGCAGATGAAAGTCGGGGCCACGGAGAAGACTTTCCTTGACTTGTGGCATCCAGACGGAGATGCTCTATTTAGTGTGTCATCAAGTTTAAGACGTGTTTGCTGGGAGCTGCATGACCCAGATACCCGCCTTGAGCAGGAGGAAACTGGTGTTGCCTTGATGCAATGTTTCCAACCACAACTCGCACAATTTCAGATGCCTTCATCATTTGAAAAAATGATCGCTCTTCTGCGACCAACCGAGGCAGACCCCGAATTCTGGATAGAGGAAAAGTTGGACGGTGAGCGTATGCAAGTCCATATGGTCCAAGACAAGAGTCACCCAGGTGGCAAACGGTTCTGTTTTTGGTCGCGGAAAGCCAAAGATTACACCTATCTCTACGGCGATGGTCTTCAAGACGAGAACTCAAGTCTAACCAGACATTTAAAAAACGCATTTGCATCTGGAGTGAAAAACTTGATACTGGACGGCGAAATGATCACCTGGGATATGGGTGTTGACAAGATAGTGCCTTTTGGCACCCTCAAAACAGCTGCGCTTTCGGAACAGAAGAATAAGTCGGATACAGACTCAGCTGGCCACAGGCCATTGTTTCGTGTTTTTGATATCCTTTACCTGAACAACAAACCTCTGACCCAATATACCCTACGGGATCGACATCGAGCTTTGGAGAAGGCTATCAAGCCTGTTCATCGCCGACTTGAAATTCACAGTTACGCCAAGGCAACGAGTACCGATGCAATTGAACCTCTTCTCCGCGAGGTTGTCGCTAATGCTTCTGAAGGCCTTGTGCTGAAGAACCCACGATCTATGTACCGTCTCAATAGTCGAAATGATGACTGGCTCAAGGTCAAGCCTGAATACATGTCCGAGTTTGGCGAGTCCCTCGACTGTGTCATTATTGGTGGCTACTATGGCTCAGGGAAACGAGGTGGCATGCTATCAAGCTTCCTGTGTGGACTGCGTGTAACGCAAAATCATATCCAAGCTGGCGCCAACCCCGAGAAATGTTTCAGTTTCTTCAAGGTCGGTGGCGGTTTCCGTGCAGAAGACTATGCGGAGATTCGGCATCGAACAGAAGGCAAATGGATTGAGTGGGATCAGAAGAATCCGCCATCAAAGTACATCGAACTTGGAGGAGGAGAGCTTAGACAGTATGAGAGACCGGATGTTTGGATCAGACCTAAAGACTCTGTTGTTGTTTCTGTGAAAGCAGCCAGTGTTGGACCTTCAGATCAATTCGCTAGAGGCTTCACACTAAGATTCCCACGATTCAGAAGACTTCGACTGGACCGAACTTGGGATACAGCCCTCTCCCTTGAAGAGTTCCAGGAGTTGAAGGAGCGAGTTGACGAAGAGTCAAAGGAGAAAGCGATGACGGTTGAGGACAGGAAGCGGCGCAACCCCAAGCGAGTGAAGAGAGAGCTGATCATTGCTGGAGAAGACGCAATTGTACCGGAGTTCAAGGGAGCGACGACAAACCTTTTCAAGGGACTTGACTTCTGCGTGCTTTCAGAAGCGCTCCGGCCTTACAAAAAGACCAAGACCCAGCTTGAAACCATAATCAAGGAGAATGGCGGCACAGTCGTCCAACGAGCCGTGCCAGGGACAAACATGGTTCTGATAGCCGACAAGAAGGTGGTGAAGGTGGCGAGCCTCATTAAAGGAGGGGCCGTTGACATTATCCGCCCCAAATGGATAAGAGATTGTCTCGAACAGGAATTGGGGGCGTTTCTTTTGCCATTTGAACCTTCGCATCTGTTTCACGCTACTGATGAATTACAACGAGCGGCAGAAGATAACACAGATCAGTTTGGGGACAGCTACGCGCGGGATCTTTCCATCGAAGAATTCAGAGAGCTAATGCACGACATCCCTAAGATTGAGGACGGCACGCACTTTGACAAGGATGAATTTCTTCAACAGCTTGAGGAACATGGGAACGACTTGGGACGATTAAGGAGCTTTACCTTCCGACGTTGTGTGGTGCTGTTTCATGCTGTGGAAGCTGGCGACAACAAGATTTCGAGGCTAAAGCACCTTGTCAAGTACGGCGGGGGTAATGTTACAGATGACACCAATAATCTGTCTGTGACACATGTGGTGATCGAAGGCGACGACCCGATGCAAGTGGGAGAGGCCGCTGATATGGTACGAAAAGAACTGAGCTCAAGGCGCGTGCAACCAAGATTAGTGACAGGGAAATGGATTGACGAGTGCTGGAACGAGCGCACATTACTTGACGAGGAGCAGTTTATAATTCCTTGAGGAATATGGGGTACTTATGATGTATACTATCTAAACTATATGTTAATGCAATGAGAATGCAACGCTCAGAAGCTCGTATAGTACACTCATTTGCCGATGGTCAAGAACAGCCTATCACCAACATCTCCCAGACCAGGCTTGAGCATACCATCCTTGGTCAACTCTTTGTCCACTCCTGCAATCCAAACCTCGCATCCCTCGGGCCACTCGGCAGCGACTCTCTGAACACCCTCGGCAGCTCCAATAACGGCGAGAACAATGATTCTCTTTGCGCCCCATTCACGAAGAGTCTGGATAGCGGCGGCGCAGGTTCCACCGGTTGCAATAACAGGATCGACCAAGATAGCAAGA